TCTCACCTGAAAAATCTAGTAACTACTACATTATAGATGTATTCAAACTGTGACATTCCCAGAAAGAATATATAAATGGGAAAAAAAGAGAAGGTATCAGTAATTAGAAATCCTACAGAGAAGGAGCCAGCAAAGAAGACAGAGGGAGCGAGTGACAGGTAGGTGGCTGGGAGAACACAGAAACCAAGAGAAGGAATGTTCTAATGGAGGGAGGATCCACGGCAAATGCTGGTGGAGTAAGAAGAGGCCAGCGAAGCAGGGTGACCTGGACAAGAGCACTCTCAGCAGAGGGGAAATGAGTCAGATCGGGCAGCAAATGGGAAGGGAAGGTGGAGTCAGGAACTCTTGGCAGCTCATTCAAAGGCGTTTGGGGAGCATGAGAAGGGGTCAGGGCTGTTTCTGAAGGCGTCAGCGTTGGTGCACGTGTGCTCAGGAGCAGGGCCCTCTGGATGGAAAGCGCAGATGTGCAGGAGAGGGCGAGGGACAGAGTGCAGATGGAAGGAGTAGTGCAGTTCATCAAGGCCAGGGCCCGAGAAGAGGCACTTCTGTCTCATGGGAGGGGAGGCGGGCATGATCCTAGGCAGGCGGTGGCTGTGGGGGTGAGAGGACGGAGTTCCCTTGCGATCGCTTCTTTCATATCAGCGAAGCTCAAGGCAAAGGCTTCAGCTGAGAGCGTGGGAGAGAATGGTGAGTAGGAGGCTTGAAGGGCTAAGAGAATGAGTGAAATACTCACTTTCCACGCCAAGAAAGCGCATGGAGGTTCGGGGGCCAGTTTCCTTCAGTGGGGCTGCTCCCACACCCCTTTCCCACTGCTTGGGGGGGGGGCAGGTCTGTTCCTCCACCCAAAGCCCCTGGCCAGAGCAGACTGGGAAAGGCGTCAAGGAGCAGGGCTCTGAGACCCTGTCCCCCTGCCCTGCATAAATGACCAAGCATGGGGAGTGCTCACTGCCCAGGTCTCCCTCATCCCACCTGCCCTTGTCCTTCCCCTCTTCTTTAAGGCGCTGGGCAGGTGAGGCAGCTGTGACAAGCGGGCTCCAGCCATGCAGGCACAGAAAAGGCAGCCAGTGTTTATTCGGGGCCTTCGGGTGGCAGGCACTTCATCTCCCTGTTTCCCACCAACCCTACGAGAAAGGTCATGACTCGCCCAAGGTCATGCAGAGTCAGGACTCAGGCCTCTATGATGGCAAAGCTCCTGTCCTTCCCAGTACACGCTCGGCCTCCCTTCCTGGAAGGCAGATGCGAGCTTTTTCCCCGAGAGCTGCCATCAAAGGCTCTCTTCTTCCTGCCTCTGGTCCTTGTTCTACTGCTGAATTGCCACTGCTATTTCTACAGCTCCTCAGAGCCACTTGGGGACAGGCAGTGAAGCTTCTCACAGACTTCCTCTTCCCCTCAGGAGCGCTCCCTGCACCACCCCAGATGACGCAGTGGCCATGCTGTCCAGCTGGGCCAGCAGTTCAAAACCACAGGCCAGACATTCATTCATTTTGTCTACAGAAGATGTAACCTCAGAGAGTGCCCAGTGAAACTGTCACTGCACAGGGCTCCAGCCCACCTTTCACCTCTCCCCCTTCCCTCTAGCCTGACCAGGCATGGTGCCCTGAACAAGTCCCCCTCATCTCACACTTCTGTGCCTCCGCACGTGCTCCCACTGCCTGCAGTGCCTTACCTTTGGCCCCCAGTGCTCTGCCTGTCTCTCCTTTTTCCAAAGTCTGCTGGAGCATCCTTTCTTCTAGCAAGCCCTTCTGGAACACCCCCTCTCTGCTGCCCCCCTGTGCCAGGTTCACAAAATCACCACCTGCTGAAGTATATATCTCAGCAGGTGTCCTGCACCCCAACTCCTGGGGGACACCTAGGCCCCGCCTTTGTGTCCTCAGCACACAGTGCCTGCTTCCTAGTAGATGCTACACACACACACATTTGTTACTTTGAGAATACAGTGGTACCTCGGTTTTCAAACATCTCCATGGACAAACATTTTGGTTTACGAACGCCGTAAAGCAGAAGGAAATGCTTCAGTTTTCGAACCCGCCTCGGAAGTCGAACATGCCACATGGCTTCTGCTGAGTGCAAGATCCCAAGGCCTAGCTGTCTGCTGTTGAACCCTTGGTTTTTGAACGTTTCAGAACTCGAGCCGTCCTCCGGAATGGGTTACATTTGAAAACTGAGGCACCACTGTACTTAAGACACTAGGAGAGAGAGATTGGGCTTGCTGGAGAGAGAAGAGTAGGGGTGCTGATGAGAACTGAGCAGGTTTATCAGGGAAAACTAGGTAGACTCTTAGGGATAGACTAGAGAGATTATGTTGCAAACCTCAGTGGCTTAAAACAATGGTTATTAATCACCAAAGCCACATGTCCCCTGTGGGCCAGCAGAGGACTCTGCTCAGGACAGTCACTCAGGGACCTTGAGAGAGCAGTTACCACGTCTAACAGAGTCACGCTGTCAGAGGGCAGGGGGCTCCTGCATCGGCAATTAAATGCTTTGGCTGGGAAATCACGTGGCTCTGCCCAATCAGAGTTCCAAGGAAGTGCAATTCTGCCATGTGCCGGAGGTGGAAACCCAGGAGTCCTGGGTGGAGAGGAGAACCTCAGGGACATTTCTCTTGGTCCTGCTGTGACAGCCAGCGGGTGCACCTCTGGCTGCTGGGTTAACAACAGGTGTGCCTGTCTGAGCAGGAGGCCCTTTTTAGCTGGGCTCCTGTTCTGCTGTCACTGTGCTAGGGGTGGGGCTGCCAGAGGAAACCACCAGGTGTGGCCTTGGGAAAGTCCCTCCAACATTCTCTAGAAACATGGAATTTCCTGGTTTTAACCGTTTCCTATCCAAATGCCGTCTCGGAGCTGACAAGGAGCAGGGCCATCTCTGCAGCCTCCTAGGAAACTTCCTTTGGGGCATTGAGACCTGGCTGGGAGTTTGGCATACCTGGGTGCCGGCCCCAGCAGTGTCAGGATCATGGGCAAATTACTGCCGGTGTGTGGGCCTCGATGCCCTCGATGCCTGTCTGTAGAGTGTTTTCCAGCCTCCCAAGTATTTCCAAATCTATTGTTCCATGTTATCCACACAACCAGCAGAGTGATTGTTACCACCCTCGTGCCTTGGAGGAGAACACTGTCTGGGAGGGGTTGTGTGCTGTGCTCAAGGTCATCCTGGAGGGCATAACCTGGGCTCCAGTGCTTGCTCTTGGGCCTCTGCAGGCTCACTGGGAAGATGAGTCAGACCCACCCTGGGGCTCCTGGGTGTGGGAACTTGCTCTTTCCAGACAGCTCTCCACTTGGTTAACTTGCCCAACCTGCTCTATTGACTCTGAAGCCCTGAACTTCCCTGCCCCAGTGAACTGCGGGAGATGCCCAACAGCACCCGTGGCCTGCCGCAGCTGCCCAGCCTCATCCCAGCCTCTCCGTGGCTCAGACTCCTCTGTCCTACAGCCTCCTCTTGGGCACTTCGAGCAACCGCTTTCTCCTTCCTGCCAGGGCGGCTGCAGCGGCCCGGCGGCCTGTCTCTTTAAGAGAGAGAGAGAGAGAAAGAACGAAATCCGGAAGTGGGAGAGAGCTGCTGGCCGGGGAGCTGTGTTTGCGCCTGGAGGCGGGAGGCAGCTCTCAGCTCTCAGCTCTCAGCTCTCCCAGCTCCCGGTGGCACTCGGACTCTCCCACTCGGGAGTCTTTGAGTCCTGGGTCCTGTGAACACCAGGATGCTATGGGCACGGCCCATGGATGACAGCGAGCCCTGAAAGCCCCGGGGCTGCCACCCAGTCCCAGCAGCCTGCATGCCCACAGCTGAGATGTGGTGAGTGGCAGGGTCCCTGGGGGAGAGGGGGATGGGAGGGGGGACAGGGGACCCCTGGGGGAAAGCTGCAGGGTGGCACTGAGCTGATGTCCGTGCTGACCTGTGAGCAGGGCTCTCCAGGCCCATGCCCCTCTCTGTGTCTCTGCCCTTGCTGGGGGCCCGGCAGTGTCCTGTGTTCCATCTGCAGCGGTCCCCCTGGCAAAGGACTGCTTGGGTGCCGGTGGGAGGCTGGGAGGACTGTGGCAGACAGCTGCCAGCCACCAAAAACACTCCTTTCCTGGCTCCGCTTCCCAACACCCCAAAGCCGGGTTCAGCTCTGTGTCTGCAATTTCTCCTGCCTGGCTCCCGGCGCCCACCCTCCCCTCTCCTCTCCTGGGCCCTCCCTGCCTATGTCCTGGGAGTGGACGTGGCGAGGAGAGCCTCCCGGAG